CGAGGTAGGTGGGGGAGGGACGGTGATGGTTGAGTTTCCAGCCCTAAATAGAAAGCCTATGTTTTTATTAGGTGCCATCAAGTCAGTTCTAACTCATAGTGAATGTAAAGCACCATAAAATGAAACAGCCTGTCCCTGTGCCATACGCACAATCGTTGAGCTTGAGTCCACTGCTGCTGACACTGTGCCAATCCATCTTGTCTGAGGGGCTTCCTCTCTTCACTCACCTTCCGCTTTACCTGGTATGATGTCCTTCTCCAAGGACTGACCCCTCCTGATAATATGTCAGAAGTATATGAGAGATGAAGTTTGCCATTCTGGCTTAAGAGCATTCTAGCTGTTCTTCTTCCAACACAAATTAGTTTGTTTTTCTAGCAGTCTATGGAACTGTACGGTTTAAAATTAAGAAAGCTGTGCGACAAAGTTGTATTCTTTCACCATACTTAATCAACCTGTATTCTGTGCAAATAATCCAAGAAGCTGGGTTATATGAAGATAAACGTGGAATCAGGATTGGAGGAAAAATTTAACAACCTGCGATATGTAGATGATACAACTTTGCTTGTTGAAAGTGCAGAAGACTTAAAATATTTACTGATGAAGATCAAAGAGCACAGCTTTGGGTATGGATTTCATCTCAATGTCAAGAAAACAAAAATCCTCACCACTGGACCAATAAACAACATTCTTATCAATGGAGAAAAGATTGAAGTTGTCATGGACTTCATTCTTCTTGGATCAACTATCAACACTCACGGAAGCAGCAGTCAAGAGATCAGATGACGTATTGCATTGGGCAAATCTGCTGCACAAGACCTTTTTAAAGTGTTGAAGAGCAAAGTTGTCAGCTTGAGAACTAGGGTGGGTATGCCTGACCCAAGCCATGGTATTTTCAATAACATCACATGTATGTGAAAGGTGGACAGTGAATAAGGAAGACCGTAGAAGAATTGATGCATTTAAGTTATGGCGTTGGAGGAGAATACTGAAAGTGCCATGGGCTGCCAAAAGAACCAACAGATCTGTGTTGAAAGAAGTGCAGCCAGAGTGCTCCTTGGAGGCCAGGATGGCCAAACTTCGTCTCTCATACTTTGGACATATTGTCAGGAGGGACCAGTCACTGGAGAAGGATATCATGTTTGGTAAGGTGGAGGGTCAGAGAAAAAGAGGAAGACCCCCCAGCGAGATGGATTGGCAAAGTGGCAGCATCAAAGGACTCAAGTGTGGCAACAATTGTGAGGATGGCCCAGGATCCGGCAGTGTTTTGTTCTGCTGTGCATGGGGTCGCTACAGTTGGTACCGACTTGATGACACCTAACAAGAACAACATGGAATGTTTTATATTTGCCTCCAAAATCATACCTCCAATTCTTCTACTGTTTTCTTTATTCATTTTCCAACTGTCACATTCATAGGAAGCTATTGAAAAGGCCATGGCTTGGGTCAGGCACATCTTAGTCCTCAAACTTATTATTTTTGTTCTTGAACACTTGAAAGAGGTCTTATGTAGCAGATTTGTCTTATGCAGTATGTGTTTCATTTCTTGGCTGCTGCTTCCATGAGTGTTGACAGTGGATACAAGCAAAATGACATCTGACTATTTCAATCTTTTTTGCACTTACCATATGATTTATTATTTATTAAGGTGCTCTGGTAGCATAGTGGTTACAAGTCAGGCTGCTAACCTCAAGTTCAGCAGTTTGAAACTACCAGCAGTTCCATGGGAGAAAGATGAGGCTTTCTGCTCCCGTAAAGATTTACAGCCTTGGAAACCCTATGCAGGGTTGCTTTGAGTCGGAACCAACTCCACAGCACACCACCATCACTATCATATTATTTATTGGTCCAGTGGTGAGGATTTATGTTTTCTTTACATTGCAGTACAACCCATACTGAAGGCTGTGCTCAGTAAATATTTTAAGTCCAGTATACTGCAGGTTGTTAATGCATCTTCCTCCAATCCTGATGCCATGTTCTTCCTCATAGAATCCAGTTTCTCGGATTCTTTGCTCAATATACAAATTGAATAAGGATGGTGAAAGAATGCAACCCAGGTGCATACCTTTCCTGATTTTAAACCATCAGTGTCCCATACCATATAATTAGCTTTATTTTTATAACAGTATAAATCTTGGGACTAAACAGGGAAACTAACAATGATAAAACCACCTGATTTATTCACTTTAATGTGTTTCAGAAACACTCTATTCCCAAAGATAACACATCACTGACCATTTAAAGCATACCAAAACTTACAGAAACTATTCTAAATCAGAATTATTTCAAAATGATTAAATATCAAAGAAAAACTATTTATATTGTTTTTCATTACTATAACAGAAATTTTCATTTTCTTAATTTTTAGTTGAGGTGAATGAATCTTATCTAAAAGTCTTATACTTTTAATATTAATATTTGGTATACTTATACTTTCTAAATTTTGGATGCTGAGTTTGGTGGTTACGAATCGGGCTGCGAGCCGCAATGCCAACAGTTCGAAACTACCAGCTGCTCCTCGGGAGAAAGATGAGGCATTCTGCTCCCGTAAAGATTTACAGCCTTGGAAACCTTGTGCAGGGTCATTATGAGTTGGAACCAACTCCACGGCACTTAACAACAACAACAAGTGCCATAGAAAAGAAAAATGTAGTAGAGAATATTTTTTAACAGAGGAATAAGAAATGCTAATTGTAGGTGACTTGGGTTTTGAAAGGTAATGACTTAAAAAAGTTACAAAAAAGAAATTAAATTTTATTTCAGGGATCACTTAAAGAACTACTCATGAAAATAGTTTATCTTTTAAAAAGGTTCTTTTGCCAAAATGTCAGAAGGCATATTTAGGAAATTAGTAATCTAAATGACTAAGGGTAAGTTAAAAAAGCATTATTGTTAGGGTCCCAGTACATACATGCACTGGTTTATGCCAAACAAAGCACTTAAACATGCCTCTGCAATCACTGGATGGCTACAGGTATTTTTTTTCTCAGTAATACACTTCGTCTCCTTAAGGTTTCTTTAGGGGAAGAAAAGTTCCAATTAAAACAGTAACTTACAGGCCACTTAGATTCAAGGCTGAGAGGTCAGCTCAGAAGGTTCTGGCAACTCTTTTAGGACTTCAAAGGAGTACACTTGAAAGATTTTCTTTAATGGAGGGTATATTGAGAAACAGTAGTTTCATCTTCTATATTTTTGTTTAATAAGGTTTCTGTGATTTTTGTAGCAATACATTTTGACTTATCTTTCTACAAGTTAATAGCCTATAGTCAAATTTCAAGCTTCATTCCTGAGTTTAACACCACAATAGATGAGAATTTCAGAGGCTACAGAAGGAATATAGTATATAGTCGGTTTGAAGTAACAATAAATTGTTGTGTTGAACTATGTATTAAAGACAAGACTAAGATAATTATAAGTAGTGAACATATGTTGCACAGCTTCATTTGCAAGTTGTTAGGGGTGATACAAACATAGTTTTAATTGGTTGGTTTGCACAATATTTACATGGTTATTTAATATTTTACTCCACAACTCAAAAGATACAGGATGATATAATGTTGGATGAACAATATATACTTATTAGTGTTAGTGCCATTGAGTCGATTCCAACTCACAACAACCCTGTATAGGGTTTCTAAGGAGTGGCCTGGTGAATTTGAGCCGACGACCATGTGGTTCAAACCTAGCTTGCGATTTAAACCTATTTTGTGGTCCAGTGCATAGTGGCAAAAATTACCATTGTAATGGGCTTTCATTTAGTAGTGTGTAGGACCAATCCCTGGGGAAGGCATCAAAGTGGAGGGTCAGCAAAAAAGAAGATGATCCCAACTAGATGGACTGGCAGGCAAAAGCGTGAGTTCAAGCATAACAATTTTGAGGATGGTGCCCGACCCACCCAGGCAGTGTTTATTCTGTTGTGCCGGCTGGTCAGCATCTAGCAACAACATTGGAGTAATGTCAAACTCCAGTTAAGAATTCACTGTGCTGCTTAGTAACCATACTCCTTAAATCAGGCGATGGTTAGTTACCCTTAATGTCAGATCTTGGATCCTATTAATAACCAAAGATAAAACATGAAAACGCAGTTTGCAGGTGAGGTTGAACCTACTACCTGAACAGATAGCCTAGTTAAACATACTGAACTGTAACTGGTGTCAGCAGTCCTGGTGGGATAAAGTGCTGGACAGCAAAGTCCATTTGAATCACAAGGTCGGCGGTTCAAACTCACTAGGCTGTTCCTTGGAAACGCTATACAGGGTCACTATGAGTTGGGACCTACTTGATTGTACATAACATACCTACTTGGTGTCTTCTAAAGGGTGTCGATTAAACCTAAGGTCAGCCAGAAAAAATACGCGGCTCTCCAAACCCAGAAATGACCCTGGGCTTTCAGCAGCATGTTGATTTTTGGATAGTAGTGGTGTTCTTAAGTGTCGTGGAATCGGTTCCGACTGCGGGAGTTTGAACCGCCAACCTTGCAGTTCAAACTGACCTTGAGTTCCAGCGCCACACCAGGATAGTGTAATCCATAGTAACGCCTGGCAGGGCCCATCTTTTGGTTACAAAAACTACCCACAAAGTTTAATTTCACTACAAATACTGTTTAAAAGAAAAAAAAGAATGGAAAGCTAGAAGCTGAAGAGTATCTTGACAACGCTGGAGCGCCCCGCGAGAACGTTCCGCCCTGCTCTGGGTAGTAGGGCCTCGCCTGGGCTCTGCAATTCCAGTACCGCCTCTAAAGACCACGCCTACAGCTGGGAAATTTCGTGTGGGCACATAAGCTTGTCCAGTGCCGCATGGAAAAGGCGGGACTTTACTACCTCTATTCAAAGTGCAACGGAAGACGTCAGTGCCTTAAAGCGGAAGGCCAATTGTGGCTGGGGATTGGCAGGCACGCACTCACTGCTCGCCCATACAGCCTCGGCGCACGCGCATGACGATCTGGTTCAGAGGTGCACGCCACTCTGAGAAGCCAAAATTCGGGGTTCTGCCCTGGATCCAACATGCTGTGCCGGATTGGCGGTCGGCGGCTGTGGTCGCTGCCAGGCCTGCAGCTTGGGGTCCGAAGCCCGCTGTTTGCTCTAGCCCCTACGAGCAGCGCCGATCGCTCCGCTCTCCCAGCGTGGGCGGTGGCTTCAGTCTCTGCGGTTAGCCCGGCCGGCGCTGGCGGCTGGTATGAGACCTTGGCCGCGTCCGCGCCTGTCAGGGGCGCGGAGGAACTGCTGCTTAGTGCGCACTCAGCCACGGGCCTGCCCTGGTGGGGCAGCATCCTCCTCACCACTGTGGCCCTGCGCGGCGCCGTCACGCTGCCCCTGGCCGTCTACCAGCACTACATCCTAGCCAAGGTGAGGGGTGCCGAGCCGCGCCTGGACCCCCGCTGTCGGGGCCGGGCTGACGTCGGTCGGGGTCTGTGAAATGACCTTTCTGAAAGCCTGGATGTCAGCTGCTACAGCAAAACTATAGCTTTGCATGCATGGTTCCTCATCCAGACTCCCACCACTGATGAGCCTAACATGCAAACTGATTTGACCCTCCAGTGCCTCAATTTCTTTTCGATAGAAAAGAAGTGCCTACTTTAAAATGTTTGATCAAATCTGAGAATATGTATTCAAACGCTTTGAAATGAGAACACATTTAAATACGAGATTTCAAAATTAAAGGCTTTAATGTTTTTAGGATATCACTGGGAAGGGGGGGAACTAGAAACAAAACAGGAAGAGAATCATCAATACTATTAAATTAGGGATCTATGAAAAACAAACTAACAGATCAGAAATAAAGGCAATGTTTGCTAGCCTAACCCCCCTCTCACAACCCTATTATGCACAGTGGTTATGACCCCTGTGTCCAATAGGGATTTCACTGACACATTTACAGAAATTGCTCTCCTGGCTTTGCCTAAATCTGTCTTGGTTTGGAAGCTCTGCTGAAACCCACTCAGTATGTTGCTATTCATTGCTGTAGGGTCAGATTTGGCCTCATGGCTGCCCTATATGTGCAGAGTAGAACTACTCTAGAATTTTCAAGACTATGCCTCTACAGAAGCAGACAGACCTCAAGGCCTGTCTTCTGAGGCTCCGAGACACCTCTGGTAGGTTAGAGTACCCAGCCTTTCAGCTAGTCATTGAGCACTGGACTGTACTACCACGGACCCTTCACTTAGCATTAGAACAAGTCTCCACTGACTGAGGGATGTTAACTGTGCTTCAGGTACATTGACTGGGAACTGATTGAACTCAGGTCTCCCACATAGAATCTGACCACTGGCCCACTTACTGTCCTTTTTACACGGTGTATTAAAGTGTATTTAATTAATAGCTTACTATTTCCTCAGTTTATAGGAATGAAACAATAAAACCCATGGTGGAATTCTCATTTAATCTTTGTAATCTATGAAATAACAGCTGTTATGCATTTTATATTAGAGAAAACAGGACTTTAGAGGATAATTAACTGTTTGGGAACACACAGCTAAGTGTGTATGGGATGGATTTGAATTTTGTTGTCATTGAAGAAAAAATTGTTAAGCTTGGTTTTAAGGTTTCTTCAGACGATAAATTAACTTCATTTTTAAATGAGTTAGTTGAGTGAATAAGAGTAAAAGAAACTATAAGTAGTTAGGAGTAAAAGTCCCTTATGTGCTCATAATGAATTTACTTTTCTTTAGCTAGGTGGAAAATTTGCAACCAGAAATAAAAAATATTGCCAGGCATCTTAACCAAGAAGTTGCTGTCCGAGCGAATCAGTTGGGATGGTCCAAAAGAGTTGCCAGGTAAGCTAATGTTATACTTTTAAGACCATGAATTTATATAATGTTAAATGATTATGTTGATTATAGGTTTGGAAATCTTGTAACCTTGGTAACAAAGAACAAAGTATTACTTTTTTTGCTGTTAAGTGTCATTGTTGAGTTGGTTCTGACTCATAGTAACACTGTATAGGGTTTCCAAGGAGTGGCTGGTGGGTTTGAACTGCTGACCTTGTGGTAAGCAGTCCAGTGGTTATCCTACAGCACCACACCAGTGTTACTTTTACTGTTTCATATCTTAATAAGTTTATGTGAAATGATAGTTTTATATAGTAGATTCAGGACTATGGACAAAGATAGGAAAAGCATGTTCTATGTACTTGACTGACTCCAGGCCATAGAATAAGATAGGCCTATAATCAGATAATGATAGCTGTGAATTAAGAGCTGTAAAAGGAACTAGACTATCGAGGCAAGTCAAGAGAGTCTTTACAGGATGAAGATATGGTTCCAGTCTATTGAGATGTTGGTCAACAAATGACCCAGGGTATTTACAGTGATGTGGCATTTGTTGAAAAGATACAGCCGTTAATAGTCCACACATGTGGACAGGGGGCACAGAGTGGATAGAAGATGTGAGCACAATGGTAGAAGCATATGGACACCTACTGTGGTTGTCCTATGCAGTTGTCTACCTTGTCCTTAGTCAAGGGGACTTTGGCATGCTTAGAGTTTCTGCTTATAGTTATCTGCTGGGAACTTCTAAGTTCTTCTGACTCAACTAATATAAACTACTACATAGTCAAATTTCCAGATTCTGGTTCTTTTTAAATGTGACAACATGTTCACCAGTTTACAACAATGAAAAAAATGAGGGCTTTGTAGTTTAATTAAGGAGCCTTGGTGGCATTGTGGGTTAGACTTGGGCTGCTAATCACAAGGTTCAAGCCCACTAGCTCCTCCTGGTGAGAAGGATGAGGCTCTCTGTGCTTGTAAAGATCTATAGTTTTAGAAACCCTATATAAGATAGGTATGAGTTGAAATTGACTTGATGACAGTGGTTTGGGTTTTGGGGGGTGTAACTATGTATAACTGTATTATATACAGCTAGTCCCCAGCTTATGGTAGGGTTCCATTCTGACAACTGTGTTGTAAGTTGATTCTGATATAAGCTGACTATTTCTTACATGTATGTATGTATATATGTGTATATATATATATACATATATAGTTGTTAAGTGCTTTCGAGTCAGTTATGAATCATAGCAACCTTTATAGGGTTTCCAAGGAGTGGCTTGTGGGTTTGAACAGCCAACCTTGAGGTTAGTAGTCCAGTGCTTATCCTACAGCACCACACCAATTTTTTTTTTATTATTGCCCTTTATTATCTGTATCTATAAATAGGATCCTTGAACATATGCGAGTGAGCATCTGAGTACAGTATAGCAGCAGATTGTGCACTGCAACATGATATGTGGTACATATTGCTAATGATAAACTATACCAAAAGTAATACTTCAGTGGTTTGTCATAACTGAAATATATCACAAGCTAGGACTACCTTTATATGATTATGCATATGTTTTTCATCAACATAGGTATACTTTTGCCAGGATAAAATTGTATCCATCTTTCATTTAATGTTAAAAAGACTTGACATTTTAAAAATCATTGTTGTAGTTTAATATCTTCACTTGATAAAAAGTTGACACCCTATAGTTTTGTGACTTTACTTACCAAGGAAATATGAGAACTACAGCCCTTGAGCAAAGGAAAAAATTAATAGCTGCTCAACTGAGTTATAAACCTAGAGAAGACTTGTGGCGCCTTACTTATGCAGCACTGACAGATGAATGCCCTGGCGTATCCTTATACAGATGAGTGGCTTTGTAGGAAGGCACAGCAAAGGCTTCCTGCATTTTCTTTTCCTATAATTTATTTTACTTTTTTGTTGTTGAAAATTTATACATCAAAAATAGACACCAATTCATGTTTCTGCATGTACAGTTCAGTGGCATGTACAGTCTTTGAGTTGTTTAGCCATTCTCACCTTCCTTTTCTGAGATAGTCTTCTCCTATAAACTCACTGCCTCCTAAGGTTCTCATCTATTCTTTTGAATTGCTCTTGTCAATTTGATCCCATATAGGTAGTTAAGCTAAACCGTGATTTGGTTATAAGAAGTCTTCAGGTAATATTTTTGGTTTAAGGGTTACACATTATTTTGGGACAGTAATTTTGGGGACTCATTGGACCTCCATAGCTCAAGAAAGTTTGGATTCCATATGAATTTTAAATTCTATTCTGCATTCCCTCCCCCCCCCCTTTTGATCAAGATTCTCCTATAGAATCTTTGATCACAATCTTGAGTAATGGTAGGTAGGTAATACCTAGTTCTTCTGGTTTCATGGCAAAGACAGTTTATTCATGGAGACAGTTAGCCACAATTCCATATTCTCCTCTTGCTCCTGTATTTTCAGTAGAACCAAATTGTGATGAGTGAAAGGGAGTTTACCAGGTAAACAGTCAAGAAAGTGGACTTATCCTGCAAGTTGTTATAATATCACCAGTAATACTGATGTAGAAGTCTGATGTGTTGAATGACCTAAAATAACTTGAGAACCAGAATATTCTTCACTTATCAATATGGTTATGTGTTAGTAAGGGAAAATTGGTATTATTAATGAAATGGAAGATGACCACATCACATCACAAAATGGAGAGGGACTGCATCTTTACATAACTGCCAACCACTGAGACTCATGGCCCAGCCAAGTTGACCCACAGCCTTAGTCATCACAGCTGCTGCTATTCTTGCTGTGCACATCTCAGCGCTCATTCCTGCCACACATAGGTGTCTAACGCCCAAAGTCGGATAGGAGAAGTTTTGGATGTGGTAGCAACTGCAAAATTATGAATAATGTGAGAGTTGATAAGTGAAGAAGAGGTGTATACAGGAGATAAACTTGGAAAAGTAGAAAGAGGCTAAATTGCAGTGGACCTAGTTATCTATTTGTACAGTCTTACTTTATTTAGCACATTATAATTTGATTAAATTCAACAAACCTATTCAGTATCTTTCATGTACAGAATATATGATACAGGCGACTTAAAGATGAATAAGGCTTAACACTTGCCCCTCAGGGAGACTATAGAAAGTAGAACTTCAGATTAAATAATAACAGCTATACCACCCTGAATGGGCCCCATCGTGTCTGATCTGGGAAGCTTAGCAGGGTCTGGCCTAGTTAGTATTTGGTTAGGAGACAGCCTGGAAATACCAGGTGCTGTAGGTTTTTAGGACTCCTGGTGTGGTGCCATAGGATCATCAATGGACCTCAGACCACCAGGTCAGCAATTCATACCCATCAACAGCTGTTTGGAAACCCTAACAGGGTTGCTATGAGTTGGAACCAACTCTATGCATTTACCAATAAATAAGGAGTCCTGGTGTGGTACTGTAGGGTAAACACCGACCGAAGGGTCAATTTGTACACATGGTCAGTGGTTTAAACTCATCAACCGCTCCTGGGAAACCCTGTATAGTCACTATTAGTCGGAATCTACTCAATGGCGCTTAACAACAATAATAAATAACAGAAATAAATAAAAAATCATTGGGAGAGTTGATTGATGAGAGATGATTTTGATGGCCAAGAACACACTAGTATAAAAGCATATATGTGTCGATATAAAAGGTATCTTCAAGGATCAGGGAATCAAGTTTGGTTGAAGTGTAGGGATTTGAGGAAAATATATTTTCAGCTTTAGTGTTTCTTACATTAATTGTGGTCATAACATATCAGTGAAATTTCTACTAGTAAAGTCTAATTGGCCAAAGACCACAAGAGACAAAACTTGTAATTTGACAATGACACATGTGTTGGATTGTTATATATGTATGTTGCTAGAAAATATTCAGTTATAAGGGTTACTTGAATTGTTAAGCAGTCCTATACATCTGAAAAACATACACAGATTCTTTAGCCAAAATCTATAAAATGATGTTTGTACCATGGAAAAGAAGCACTATTACTAATTAAATGACGTTTTCTCCTTTCTCTTTCTGTCAATGTAGGCTCACTTATCTCAAGAATATGCGAAGGCTTGTTTCAGAGCTGTATGTCCGGGATAACTGCCACCCCTTCAAAGCCACTGTGTTGGTCTGGATTCAGCTTCCAATGTGGATCTTTATATCTGTTGCCCTCCGGAATTTTAGCATGGGGGCAACCCATTCAGAAGGCAATTATTATTTTCCTCAAAGCAGTTTATACCAAACTTTGTGCCACCCAAAATTAAACGTTTCATTATTGGAATACTTTCACTATGTTCCTTTCGAGGATATAGGATTTAAAATCTTGAATGTAAACAGACTATGTTGAGAAACAGATGAATCTAGGAAAGACATCAGTAATACTGCTACCTGAGGGCCATAATACAATTATTGTTATAATTTCAGTGTTGGCTTTCCTAGTCAACAACTTTTTCCATTTATAAATTTGAGAGACCAGAAACGTTTCCCTAGTAAATGTAAATGTCAATTAAGAAATTATATAAGTTAAAGCATTTATTGTTTATCTTATTTAAAGGCACTTCTAACGGAGTCTTTGTGTGGCATTGTAACCTAAGCACTGGACCACAAGGACAGCTTGAACCTCAAGGTTGGCAGTTCAAACCCACCAGCCGATGCTTGGAAACCCTGTACAGGGTCGTTATGTGTCAGAATTAACTTGTTAACACACAACAACAACAAACCAGAAAGTTATTGGATTAGACTTGAGGGAAAGCAGCCTATGAACAAATAATTATTTAGATTTAAATCGGAAAAGATTTCTGGTACATATCTTTATGCTATATCTATATCCATTTGCTACAGATAGCCCCTTGCTGAGTACAGGAAGGACTGTTGATATTGTGGAATGAAAACCTGAATAAAACCAATGTAAATCTTTAGGATGAGGAACCCCTTACTGGAATTATCAAGACTTCTATACCTTACATAAGCCCTGGTGTGGTGCTATAGGATAGGCACTGGACTGGGAATGGAAAAGTCGGTAGTTCAAACCTACAGCTGTTCTTGGAAACTATACAGGATTACTATGAGAACTGATTCCACAGCACTTAACAACCATAACAACATGTCTTGTATATTTCCCTCTGCTATTTTCAGGAATTCTGTTTTATTTATAAAACTGTTTCAGCAGGTTTTTCTGTTCAGGAGCAGTTAGCTACTGGTGGGATTCTATGGTTTCCTGACCTCACTGCATTGGATTCCACTTGGATTCTGCCTATATCCGTTGGTGTCGTCAATCTATTAATAGTGGAGGTCAGTGGTTTCAGTCATTGGGACTTTTGTTGTTGTCCTGACATATAAATGTGTTTGTCTTGGAGGTAACTCTTGAGCTAGAAGTGAGTTGCCTTGGTTTCTGGTTCCAAATCGGCCACTGCTAAACTGGCTGCTTTAGGCCAATCCCTTAATCCTCTGGGCCTCAGAATTCTCATAATTAAAATAAAAGCTGAATCAGAACATTTCCAAGGTTTATTTCAACTTTAAATTACATGATTCTAAAATGTGTAATTTTGTGATTTACTTCTGGTAAAGATAGTAATTAAGATGCTGAATCAACATTTTGCTCAGACAATAGAATGGTGCTTTGTGTATGCGTTAAATAAGTGAATTTACAGTGAGGGAACACATTCTCAACTTGACTACCATTCTTTTTAGCTATATGACTTTATAAAGGTCACTGGACGTTTCTATAAGATGGAGGGGAAAAACATGTACATGTAGACTATGACCCCTTAGCCATGTCTTACCATTACACAATGATGTTTTACTCAAGAAGAGTTTGGTGAAAGAGAAGCACGCATATTTTATAAGGAGGTATTCTTACAACCAACTCCGCGGCACATAACAACAACAACAACTATTCTCAGAGCCTGACTACCATATGCTCTTTGAACTGGAATAAAACCTTAGAAATTACCTACCTCAGTGGAGATTTCACAAACCCTTGTCCACTAGTTTTGTTTGGGAATTTAATTTTTTAGATGAGAAAAATGAAAATGATAAAATTAAAGGTCTTGGGTGAAATTTTTTCAAAGGTAGAATAACTTTGAAATGTCTAAATGTATTTCCTAAGAGCACCTACCACAGTCCTGTGAACAAGGTTGGTACTTAGTGAATGTTCATTAGAAGGAAGGGACAGACATAAGATTGCAGTAAATTAATACTAGAGGTAGGACTAGTAGTCCACTTGTCTTTCCTTTATAGAACTGCCATATGATGACTCAGCATGCATAAATTATAATAAAAGCTTACTCTTACTGAACAAATACTATACCAGGCACTGTGGTAAGCAATTTATATGAACTGACTCTTAATTCTTACCAGAACCCTATGATACAGGTACTATATCACACTTTATGGTGGAGAAAGTAAGGGGCAGAAAGGTTAAATAACTGGCCGAAGGTCACATAGCTACTAAATGCAGATCTATCATTACACTATGCTGCCTCTGAAATAAGTAATTCATTAATCATAATTGCTTTTCCTAACCTTAGCTCTTCCCTTTATTCCACTTGGTCAGATCACAAACCTTTAAGATGCTTCAGCCTTCTCTATCCCAGGCATTGTTCGTCAATGCCAGAAAACAGAGGTAGTGATTCATATATAGTACTTATATTCAAGAAGTTGCAGTCTTGTTGGAGGATCTTTGAGTAATATTGCTTTGTTTCTAAAATTCTTCTAAAAATTGTGCTTTGTTTCTTTTTTTATATAGCTATTTCTCTTCTTTACTGCTATTAATTAAAGCTCCATTTAAGAATTTTATTATGTGTGTAAAACGATAGATGATTCACCATATAAATTCACCAATGCTTTTATTTTGTTTTGTTTTTTTACTCTTATTTAAGTATAGGTGAAGGCCATTGAAAAATCAGTTTGTATATCTGATTGAATATGCATTTTAATCACTGTACATTATATATTCCACCTTTTCAGATTTTTGCTCTTCAGAAAGTTGGAATGTCTCGTTTCCATAAATTAGTTACATACTTTGTCCGTGGAGTGTCAGTGCTGATGATTCCAATTGCTGCAACAGTACCTTCAGTAAGTAGACACCAGCATTATGTTTGTTGTTGTTAGGTGCTGTCAAGGTTCCAATTCTTAGTGACCCTATCCGTAACAGAATCAATCATTGCCAGGTCCTGCTGCATTCTCACAATCATTGCTCTGTGTGAGGTCTTTGTTGCAGCATTGTGTGAGTGGATTCTATCGGCAGTTTGATTTTCATTGACGCTCTAACAAAGGAGCCCTGATGGTGCTGTGGGTTAGGTATTTGGCTGCTAACCTCAAGGTCAGATTCAAACCCATCAGCAGCTCCACGGGAGGAAGGTGAGTCTGTCTGCTCCAGTAAAGATTTACAGTCTCGGTAATCCTATATAGTATGGTGGTTTAAACCCACCAGCTGCTCCTCGAAAACCCTATACAGTGTCGCTGTGAGTCAGCACCAACTCGACAGCACTTAAAAACAATGACTCAATCTTTTTGTTTCATCTTCCACAACTTGTATTCTTCATCCTCAAGATTATAGTGTAGTCTTGCTGGATACTGCAGCTTATCATCTTGCAGAAACAGTAGAAGTGTGCTTCATGCAGAGCTTGTGCCTTTTAAGGAGTTTTGCCAGATGTCCCAGTAAACACTTGTGCTTCCGTCTTAGTAACATGGCCACACTTAGTTGCAGAAAGGTTGGGAAATGTACTCTCTTGTTTTGTTTTTTAGGTGGGTGTACCCAGTTTAAAATTAGGATTTTGTTACTAAGGAATAAGGGGGAGTAGGTTATACTGGTTGAATTCAGGGTAATTTTTTGATGGTGGATATATCAGATGACAGCATAGTTGTTGTTAAGTGCCGTCGAGTCAATTCCGACCCATAGAGACCCTGTACAGAGTTTCCAAGGCTGTAAATCTTGATGGGAGTAGAAAGCCACATCTTTCTCCCGCAAAGCAGCTGGTAGTTTCGAGCTGCTGACCTTAAGGTTCGCAGCCCGATTCGTAACCACTACGCTACCAGAGCCAATATTTTTTTGTTATTCTTTTCTCTGTTATGACCTGGAAGCGTTTCATTCTATTGTGTGTAGGGTCACTGTCAGTCTGAACTGACATGATGGCAGCTAGCAACAACACATGTGGACTTTGGAAGGAAAATGAGGTAGTCTGCTCCTGTAAAGATGAACAGTCTTGGCAACCTTAAGGAGAACTTCTACTCTAGCCCATCGGGTCACTAAGAAGTAGAATCGACTTGATGGTCGTAGATTGGTTGGCTGATATGTGGTCCTTGGGAAATGGACAGGTTCTAATATTCGTGTTTTTTCTTCTCTCTGTAGTCAATTGTCCTTTACTGGTTGTGCTCCAGCTTCATGGGCCTCTCACAGAACTTGCTGCTGCGTTCTCCTGGGTTTCGCCAACTTTGCCGAATACCAATGACCAAGTCAGATTCACATACTCCTTATAAGGACCTTTTTTCTACCTTTTATGCCAAGTTCATTTCAAAAAAATGATTTTCAATAAATTTGAAACCAAAGTGTCATTGTCACTTTAATCTACTTGGGAAATTTAGAAATTCAGATGTTATTTAATTTACTTTTATGTTGTCAAGTACCAATGATTAAGATGTAATCTAGATATATTTGACAATTGTTCAAATCTTTTAAATGCTAGAAATACACATTTTATTATACACTAAGAGTATAAAACTGAAACCAAAATGTCTAATCCTGTGTTCAAAACTATAACTTATTTGGGATGTTAGAGCTTGAGAAAACTGCGTTAGATACTGAATAATGTCAAATTATACTAGACAGTTCAACACATTAAAGTTTTGTGAATTAAGAGGATCTAATGTGAGCTCTACAGGGTCACTATGGGTCGTAATTTACTCGATGACACTTAACATCAAAAACAGTGTGAGCTCTGGTAGTGTAGTGGTTACGAACCGGGCTGCTAATCTCACGGCCAGTAGTTCGAAACTACCAGCTGTTCCATGGTAGAAAGATGAGGCTTTCTGCACCTGTAAAGATTTATAGCCTCGGAAACCCTGTGCAGGGTCGCTATGAGTCAAAGCCAACTCGACGGCACATAACAACAACAACAATGTGATAATTTGGAGTCCTGGTGTGGCTAATGCGTCAGACTGCAAAGTCATTTGAACTCAGTGGTTCAAGCTCACCAGCTGCTCTTTGGAAACCCTATACAGGGTCGCTATGGGTCGGAATAGACTCAATGGCACTTAACAACATCAACAAATACAATAATTCTTAACATTGTGGAGGTGGAGGTCAGAGGAATATGATGGAGTCCTGGTGTGGTGTTGTTGGGTAAGTACTAGGTTGCTAATGATTTTCTATTCAGAAAAATCATCAGACTCAATTGCCAGTCTTCCTTGGTAAACTGCAGGCCTTCTGTGGACTCCTGGTTAAGAAATCTTTTTCTAATGGAACCACTTTGATGATGAGTTAATGTGTAGTTGGAAAAAAGAGAGGGGGAACCTTGAAATACATGCAGCAGAGTAGCTCATACATTTAAGGAAATACCTAAGATGGTGGGCAATGTTGCTTCCCAAATGAAGGACCCTGCCCCTGAACAACAAAATGGCATTGCAGCTGCCCCCAAGTGGCACCGAATAAAGTCCTTAAGCTTCTGGTCTCTGGAAAGCTTAAGTCTTTATTACACCAAGAGACCCTTCCCCCCAGTAGTTTCTCTCCTCATCTCGTTCTTATTTCTTATATTTTGGCGCCCAACATGGGGCACCGGAAAGTAAGCTGAGGCTCCCTGGCTGGCTCTGGGTTGCCTTCGCCCCATTCCCCCACACCCTCTTCTCTTCCTCTCCTGCACGGTAGTCAACGGAAGCAAGACGGGCGAATCCTAGATGTGAGATTAACTTTTTCCTTATGAGACATCTCGGAGTTGTGAGCAAACCATGTCCAATTGAGGAGGCTTGGCCAGGGTTACTCTCCAGTAGCCTCTAAAGGGATGTGAGGTGTTCACATCTTTGGTCGACCATCTGGGCAGTTGACTCCCTTTTCTCCTTCCTAACCTCCTGTGGCTCCGGCAGAACATAGAGCCATGTTCCAGACCGGCTCCAACCATCCACCACTGCCTGATTCCTCTCTAGTCGTTCCCACAGGAAAGGTAAATTGGCCTCCAGAGATTTTCTCTAAGGTACATAGAGAACACCTCCTCTGGCCCTGTTGGCAGGCCTTCCTTACATGTCTCAGGGGCCTGCCATTAGAACAACACAGAGGACGCTCTGGTTGTTCTTCTGGCTCTCCCATCGCCAGCCTCAATGTTTCTCTCCTCGGGATGCTCTATAGAGAAACATCATGTGCCCCTGCCACCCCCCTCTTAATCTCTGTCTCTAACTGACCACACAAAAATTATTGGAACCAATATCTCAAAAATACAAAAGGAGACCCCATTAGGGTATCTCTTGTCCAATTTCAAAAACTTCATTTACAATCTGAAATCAAACCAAAATGCTTCTTTATGCTTTGAAAACAGCACCTTCAATTATGGAATGCTCAGAGATCTAGAGAAATTCCTCCAATGGAACGGAAAGTGGTCAAAAGTTCTCCATGTCTAAACCTTTTTCTATCAACTCCCATAACTTTTAAATGTCAATTTTCCTTAAGTTTCAATTTCCCATTTCCACCAGTTGTTGTTAGGTACCATCGAGTCAGTACCGACCCATAGCGACCTTATGCACAACAGAA